TAATAAAAAAAAAATGAACGATGATAATAAAAAAAGTGAAGGCAAAACGATAACCTTTCCATTTATATAAATGGGTTTAGGACAAGTGTGAGAAAAAAAAAATATTTAGGACATGAGATAAAAAAAATTAAGTGAGAATTAGTAGTTTCAACAAGTTAATGCATAACGGGTTTAAAGTGTGAAATTTTATCCCGTGAGTGTTGTAAAATTTATGTTCTTTCTATCAATAAAGTATTAAATATTTTTTAATTTATAAATTTATTATCTAGACAATTATAACAAAATTAAATTTTTAACAATTATTTAACATTAATTTAGTATTAGTCACTTTTACAAAAAAAAAAAAAAAAAATCAGTTGCATGAAAAAGCAACTGAAAAATAAATTAATTAATTAAGTTGAGAAGAAGATGAACGAGTGGAAAAATATGACATGGGCCTAAAGCCCATTAACAAATACAGTGGGCCGCTTTACAACATGAGCCTAAAAACCCGAGAAAACCCTTCCTTTCTTCCCATCTTCACTCTGAAATAATCATGGCTTGAAGCAAAAGAAAGCTCCCATAAATCCTCTCTCTCCCCTCGCAAGTGCACACACTGTTCGTCAGTTTCTTGCTTGTAGGAAGCGAGCTATAAACGACGTCTTAGAATACTAAAGAACATGTTCAGGAACCAGTACGATACGGACGTCACCACATGGAGCCCTACGGGGAGGCTCTACCAGGTTGAGTACGCCATGGAAGCGGTGAAGCAAGGGTCGGCTGCGATTGGGCTCCGATCGAGGACGCACGTGGTTTTGGGCTGCGTTAACAAGGCTAATTCGGAGCTTTCATCTCACCAGAAGAAGATCTTCAAGGTCGACGACCACATCGGCGTGGCTATCGCCGGCCTCACCGCCGACGGCCGTGTTCTCTCTCGCTATATGAGATCCGAGTGCATCAACCATTCTTTCACCTACGAATCGCCTTTACCAGTTGGCCGCCTTGTCGTTCACCTTGCAGACAAAGCTCAGGTACTTTGCTTTCCATAACCCTAATTTCATTTCCTTGTTATCAATTTTTTTTTTTTGAGTGTTTTCTAGGAATATTGGTAGGTAGAATCAGAGAGCTTAGGGTTTTAGGTCCATTTGGGTGTGTGGGTTAAAGGCTGGAGAGTTGCTAAAGTTACGAGTGTTGAAAGCTCTTGGTTAGTAAGGTTGATAGGGATTTTTTCTTTTTCGAATAAACCAGGTTCAGTTCTTAATTGAAACATACTTTGGGGATAGCGTGATGTTTGCTAATATGAACATTGGGGATGGCAATGTGCCTGGAAATGTGTTGTTTTGCTCCTCTAGTTGATTATGTCTTCCACTTATATACTTTTTATAGTCCAAATATGTAAAGTATTCAGTAGGTTATCATTTTTCCCTTTTCCCCTCTTTTTCTTAAGTGCAAGGACTACTCATGCTAAAGCTTTTTGGTTGCTCTGTTTAATTGGAAAAACTTGAGGCTTGTGATTTGATATTTCTTAATCATGCTGAAAACCACAAGTGTAAAAGAGCTAGGAAGTTTATAAGTATGAGTTCATTGGATTGAAAGTTTTATCATTTTCCTTAATTTGTAGCTTAGGAATCTCAAATGTAATCTGAATCATTCAAAATTTGTAAATCCGAGTTTAATGTCTCACGTCCCAGATTTGAAATACTATGAGGGAAAGGATGGTTTTATAATTGTATCAGTTCGTGTTAATACCTGATTCCACATTAGATGCACATTTTTTTTTGAATTGGAATAGATTTGGTCAGGGTCTGACTTATAAGGATGTTAGAGCTAGACTAGTTTCTGGTTTGGGCTCATGAAGACACAGTTTAACTAATGAGAGGACGTGAAAACATTTCAAATCCCATGCTGGTGCATCTATGGGAGACAATATGTTCTATATTTGTGGTTGAAGGACCTTAAGAGCACCAATATTTTACATGTTCAATTGATTGGCTGATTCTGTTGTTGCCATGTTGTTCACGGGGAGGATGAGGACTATTGACATGGAGTTTTGTCTTCTGAGTAAGAAAAAAATCATTGTGTAAACATTAATTGATGTGCCCCCTCAGACCTAGGAGGTATGCATAACAGTGTGGGTCTGTATTCTGACAATTGTACCTGAAAGTTACAAAAGAGTATAAATATTGGAGATGGTGAGTAAGTTTTTAATTTTGATATCTCTGGGTTGAGAGGGTATAGGAACCTGCTTTTGTAATGTACTTCTATAAATGAAAAAAAAAACTGGTAATGCTGGAGTGATTTCTTAGGTTCATTGTGTTCTCTTCCAGTTCAAGTATGAGTCACTTCTGTCATCACATGATATTTTATACGTATGTCATAGGCTTTCTTTTTTCTACTTAGAAAAAAGAAAAGAAAAAAGATGAAATTTATTGAAGGGCACTCCATGGGATGCCGCCCAAATACCAATATATGTTTATACTTTCTTCACTCTTTGTGAACTACGACAGCAGCATGCTATAGAGTTGTTTCTTTGCAGTTATTTTCTTTTTTTGGAGTTTGATCAAAGTGATAATGATTGTTGCCAAATCATTTATGCATGTTATTATAATATTTAGTGCATGATTTGAACATGTGGAATTTACACTCCTATCAAATCTGCAGGTTGGTGCATCATTTATCACTAGTCTGTAAAACCTACTGGCATTTTCTTTACAAATGAAATAAGTAGGAGGTAAAAAATGATTTAAGCTTAAAGAATACATGATTTCTGGTTTTTGTTCATTTAAAGAACTGAGTTTTGGGGGAATTCCTATCTCTATGTCGAACAGTGCTCAGTTTGGTATCTCAGCTTCACTATCAGTATAAGTTGAATATTGGCAGTTCAAAGAATCTAAGTGTACTGTATAATTGTTGTTCAGTTCTGTGGAACATCATCTGTTGGCAATTAAATCCTTAGCTCTATATACTTTGTTAATGTAAGTCATTGTGTTTTTAATGAAAAGTTACTGCAGATTATTTAGTTATAACTGTGTGTACATGTTGTTTCTCAAAAAAAAAAAAAAAAAAAAAAATGTACCATTGGTGGCTTTTTAGTGTTTTGCATTGTATTTCTTTTATTCATTTATTTCTTTTTTCAAATTCATTTTCTAAAGTGATGATACTCTTCCAGTCCTTGCACTTGCACGGGCATCCCCTCTCAGTGGGTAGGCATCGATGGCTTCTAAGTCTCTGCATCTTATTTTCTGTGTTTTATATTTTTTATTGAAATTCATTTTCCAAGTTGATAGACTCTCCTAGAATCCATGCACTTGCAAGCACATCCCCTTGTGCAGGAGGTGGACTTCTTATCTGGAACTGGACATGGCGGTTTTCATAACCATGTAGAACATGCTTTTTCCCTTTTTTTTTTTCCGAGCATTCCTTCTCATGCATTAACATGATTTTCTCGTTATTGCCATGTTTATCTCTGATTAAATGGGAGTTGCATATATTGGGGTGGCAGGTCTGCACGCAGCGGTCATGGAAACGGCCGTATGGTGTTGGTCTGCTTGTTGGTGGATTGGATGAATCGGGAGCTCATCTATACTACAACTGCCCAAGTGGAAACTACTTTGAATATCAGGCTTTTGCCATTGGCTCCCGTTCTCAAGCTGCTAAAACATACTTGGAGCGTAGGTTTGAGAACTTCATGAAGTCCTCACGAGAAGATCTAATCAAGGATGCACTCATGTCTATACGGGAAACCTTGCAAGGAGAAACACTAAAAAGTTCCATATGCACGGTTGCTATAGTTGGTGTTGGGGAGCCGTTCCATATCTTGGACCAGGAGACAGTACAGAAGATGATTGATTCGTTTGAGATAGTAACAGAGCAAGAGGGTCCTGTCTCAGAGCCTGATGCTGGTGCTGACCAAGGTGCTGACCAAGGTGCTGCTGGAGAAGGTGCTGCTGGTGATGAGCGTGTTGGTTCTGATCAGGGTGCAGCGCCCATGGAAATGTGAAGGCCTGAGAACCAGTGGGGCAGCTTTCCATTGTCCTCAGAACGGGGTTTCTCTAGAATGTGTTTGGAGAATTACTGGCTTGACACAATGAAGACATTTATGTGGAATTATTTGTACTTGTTATGCAATTTATCTTTACCTCATAGGTTCAAAGACTAAAATGCACGTGTCCGCTAATCTAAATCTTTATATTTATCCTGCAGATACGGTATTTCAACGAGATATTTATGTTCACTACTGGTTTGTGGCAATCATTTCATGCCTTTGCAAATCTTGGTTCGGACCAACCTACTTAAGAGAGATGTTTTATAGTTTCTGGTTTGTTTTTTCATTCCCAACTCTACAAGATAACAATGATTAGCACCATTTTCAGAATGCCCTAATGAGGATTTCGTCGAGTCTTTTTAACTTGTTTGAACAGCTGCAATGACTGCTCGTCTTGGTCTATTTCCAGACTACCCTTAAATGGGTTGTGATGTTGGAGGTTTTCCCAGAAACATGTGCTGCCCAAGTAAGTCAAACGAAAGATTTTAGAAAATCTCCTCATTTCAAGTCCCCAAGTCTTAGTTTATTTTAATGCTTTTTAGTTAGTTTTGGGTGTTTAGCTGCATTTTTTGCTGTGTTAACTGGAAAAAAAATTAAAAATGTTTCTAATCAAAATTAAAATTGAAATATATTTTTAATATGTTTATTAATGCAGAAGGTAAAAAAATACATGTTTTTAAAAAATTGTTGTTGTTCTCAACTTTTTTTTTTTTTTCCCGATATTAGCTCTTAAATAAATGTTATTTGAATAATATATGAATATACATTGTAAAACATATACATAGATAAGAATACATAGTTTTAGATTGTATGATATAAATGTTACTATACAATATAATATATAGATATTTTAATAATATTTTTTAACACTTATAATATAAGCATCAGCAAATGATGATGTACTATTTTCAATTCTATTATAATTTGGTACATTATGTTTTGTTTTGTTATTTAAAAAAAAAAAAAACAAATATCACGTATTCTCTAATAATTTATAATTCAATAATAAAATAATTTAATTTTTTAACAGTTACGTAAAGTTTATGAATTTATGTTAATGTGATTTAATTGTAAAGATATTTTATTTATATTATAAGAGATATTTTAAAAAATATTTTATAAACATTCTGCAAAAATATTTTGTATTTATTTTTAGATATATTTTATGTATATACTGAATTTTTTTAAAGATTATCATAATTTAATTTTCAAATTATCATAATAAGATTTTTTTTTCTCCATTTTACCTGTACATATAAATAGATTTGTCGTACTATGTTAAATCTGTATATTTTTTTTTATTTATGCAATTTTTCTAAGAATCATACTTTATAACAAAAATTAGAAATTAATTCCTATAACGTTATCTCTTTCCAATATAATAAGGTTCTATAAATCACATTTAATACGATACAGCATCCCATTTTTACCCGATGAGATTAGGATCTAAATTAATTCCTGACAAAATGAATTGCAAGTCTCTCTGTGTTCCGCGTTTAAATGAATCTATCATCATCTCAATGATTCTGTGTTCTCAGACAACTATGACGTGAAACTAGCCCCAAAAATCCAACAACAGCTGCCAATTGCTGTCAGAAAATTTTAATAGACAGTAGCAATAATTAGAGAAGCCAATTGGTTTCGGCACTTTCGCAGAACATCAGTTTCGGATGTCAGGAAGTGGAAGACCTTTCATCTGCATCTGCTTATACAGCCATTGCCAGTTCTCTGGAGTCACCTCACCCCCAAGAGCCCGAATTACTGACCCACCACTACATGACCCTGCTTTGCAGCATTGCTCCAGGCTCAATCCCTTTACTAATCCATATAGAAACCCACTGGCAAACAGGTCCCCAGCTCCGGTTGCATCTGTTGCTCTGGCCTCTCCTATGGCTGCCACTCTTACCACCTGGGATAGTTGCAATGAATTTTTACCACTGTTAGAATTATTTTTTATTTGGACCCTCAACGTTCTCATATTCATTTTGAAAGAATACATTGCGAACCTCCTTTCCGTGTTTGGCAATACATCCATTGGACCCTAGTGTTACGACTGCCCATTTGCAATACGTGGCCATGAACTCAACCGCAGCCTCAGGATCAGCCTTGTCTTCACCCCTGCAATCATTGAAACAGAACTATTGATACACGAAAATTAAATGGTTTCCAACTGATGAATCAAGAGGACTGTTTCCTTTCACTAAGAATGTTAAGACCAACCAAATGAAACCACCTTAGTAGCTCTATTGCTTCATCCTCATTAGCAAAGCAAAGGTCTATATCCCTGGACTCCAATAGCTGCAGAAGAGGTGATCTATAATTCCGAACCATCTGGTCAATGTTAAAGAGACTAGTGTAAGAAAGACATTGATCTCAAAAGTTCTACCATCACAAAAGTGAGTGGCGGGGAAGGAGTACTTAGATATCAATCAGAAACTGAAACATATTCCAGTACTTGACTAGGTTCAATATAATACCTGCACTAATGTTTTCATTCTATACTAATATGAAGCTACCTCAAGAGAGCCATTAGAAAGGTAAGTCAAAGCAAATAAACAATGAGAAAGAAACACAAAAACCACAAACTCCTGAGACCAAGAAGGATCTGAAGTTCGGTATATCATACCTCAAAACTGGCTAAATCCAAGGAGACAGAAAGACCCTCTTGTTTGGCAATCAAAATGGCAGCTTGAATAACTTCTAAATTGAAAATTCCATATCTTAACACCAGCCACTGGACAAATGAAATATAACATGATCAGACACTGATAACACAGTCCCCATCTAGCATCCCATCAGTGTCCAATATTGGGGATGTACCTTTTAAAAGTGCAGATTCATGTCTTTAGCATAAATTTCTATACCGTGCAAAAGAAACATTAAACCTTTTTTTTTAAATAAAACCATAAAGCCTAATTAGTTCATGACTACTTTAACTCAAATGATAAGTAGTAGCATTGAGTAACAGGAAGAAGTTAATTATATGCATTGCAAAACTACAATGGAAGCACCAAATCTTTGATTAATTATTGCGAGAGACGCTGACCTTAGAGCCCTTAAAATCCTCTCTGGTTAGATCATCTGCCTGGAAGACAAAAATTTAATGAGAATTGTTGTGAGCTCACTATCAGAAGAAAAGCACATGAAGTTAAAAATAAAAAATATGTAAGAACTTCGGATCCAGAGAGAAGCAAGCACCTGAACTTTCACAGCACTGGAGAGACAGGGACGCATTGTGCGATTGCCTGAGGCATCAACCAGGCAAACACACTGCAGAGCATAATTATTCAGCATTGAGAACAAAAAAGAAAAGGGATACAAGATGGGCAAAGTTAATAAAGCTTGTAATACCTGAGCCGTGGACCCCTTCTTCATTCTCAGTCTTGAGAGGTCGACTCCACTGAAGCTCATGTTCTTTACAAATAGGTGACCTTGCTCATCATCACCATAGGCTCCAATTATCCCAGAAGACACCCCAAATCCAGTACTAAGTCCTCGAATAGTATTGGCAACACTTCCTCCGGCCATTGTCTTCATGGGATATGGATCACCAGGAGTTTTGAGGTTATGGATTTTAATCTCGTTCAGAATATACTCTAGCTCATCCATTTGAACCTGCAGCATTATAAATACTTTAAGACCTAGAAATCCTTTTTTCTGGGTACAAATCTACATACAAGTAAAAGATAGGAGTGAACCCAGAAAGACTAGAATCCTCATAGCAAAAGAATCAGTGGTTCATGTAAATGTTTATTTTAGTCTCAGCCAAAAACACCTTCAGTTGCCACACCAAGACATCCTGAGAGAAAACAAAGTAAAAAAACAAAAACAAAAAACTCTACCGTACTCTGGTTCAAAACAAAACCTGAATTGTTAATTCATTAAATTAATTGAACGGTTGAGATTTGATTTCTGTGGTAACTTGACTCGACTCCAATACCAATGGAGGAAATTTTCTAAATTTGAATTTGACATCTGGTGCTCCGTGAAAAAGGAATAATAAATAGAGAAAGAGTTTAAAACATTGGCATTCGAGTGCAATCCACTTCAATCCCCGTGGCTTTTTCAGGAAACCAGAAATCCCTGACAAAAGAACCAAGAGCCTAGAAACACGCGCTCATATCCATAACATCAAATTTTATTTCAATTATCTGTCAAAGGTAGACAAAAGCCAAACATATATTGAATAACATAGTGAAGTAAGACAGACTAGTACCGGAATAGAGCCACCTCTCTCGCCGGGGATTTGATCGAGCAAGGCGCAATCAACGGGAGCCACATTGTCGATAAGAGCAGCCGGTTGTAGGCCGAGTACGATTGGAGCATCTGTGTTGTGGCGCAAAGGTGGCTCTACTCCCATTTTAGTGACTTCTACTTAGGTGTTTAAAACCCTGTTTAAGCTCTGTCACTGCTCCCTGTTGACAGCTTTGCCCTATGTACAGAGAGAGGGAGAGGCAAAAACTACGAGCAGGTCCAGGAACTGCGGAATCTATTCCTCTCTCGTCTTCCGAAATTGCCCTTTCAATCAAACTGCACTCTTTCCGTGCCTCCAATAATCCAAGGGTTTTTTTTTTTTTTTTTTTTTTTTTTTTTAAATAATAATTTAATATAAACAATCCAAAATAATTTATTATGTTCCAATTTAATCTTTGTTATATTTTATATTTTTCCAATAATTCAACTGGTGGTAAGTTTTAGTTTTGCATTTTTTTTTAAGTGACAATGCAAGTAAAAAAATTATTATGTAATTAAATTGAAGAATTTTAAATAAAAATATACCATACTGTTGATTTTCAAAAAATTATAATATAAGTTCTTTGAAAAACAATTGTAAAATATATTCACGTTAATTTTTATTCAAACAAACGGTCATATATATATATATATATGTTTTTTTTAAAATATGTTTTCCTAATCTTAAGTAAGTGGGTAAATAAATTATAATTTAATATAATGAAATTCATTATTTTATCGTGCTTAGGTTGCCACTAACTATGTAGGAGATTATCATTTTGAACTTTAGTGTCCAAACACTAATATATTATTGAAGCACTTTCTAACGCTCGATTATCTAAGAACTCAAATAGCACATAATGTTGTATGAGTGTCTCAAGTCATATCATACATAATGTTATCTAACTATTATCTATTAGACGATATATATCACTATATTAAGTAGTTAGTAGACATTAAATATTTTTAGCTATCTGAACACTAGATTAATATATAATTTATTAGGCTACTACATACTAGATAATATTTAATGTCACTTGCTTACCCAATTTTATTTTATAGAACATCAAATGGTTACGAGAATATTAGTACCAATTAGCACTCAATTAACTCAATTTTCATGTAGTATTAATGTTATATGCCACTAGTTCTTTGTTATGTGATAAAAGTAACTTTAATCCTACATTGAAAGTACACAGACTTTGTCGTAAGGTTTATATCAGTTTGAACTCTCTTGTACTAAGAGTTAGCTTTTGTAGTGTAATTTCTCCTAAACTCATTATTGATATCAGATTTATCTACTAACCATTTCGCCGAGTTGTAATTTATATAGGTGTTGATTGTATGTTGGGATTACACAGCCACACGGGACTCTCTATCATGTTGGTTTATTATGTAGTAAAAACAACTTTAATTTTATGTTAAATTCGACTTTCGTGTGGAATTTATATAAATTCTAACACTCTCACTTTAGTTCTCTTAAGCTCATATTTGTATATAATAAAAGTAACTTTGGTACCACGTCAAATGCACTTTTGGTGTGAAATTTATATGAATTCGAGCACTCTCAACTTAATTCTCCCAAATTCATATTGTTCCTGGCTTCCTGGACATCAAATTAAGTAATAGCTAATGTTATCAATCAATTAAAACAAGTAATACTCAACTACATAAATTAGGTTTTTGTTTTCTTAAAATTAAATTTATCAAAATAAAAATAAATCTAAAACGTCTTACGTAACTTAAAAGTCACGCGTAAACATAAATTAATAAAAATAAAGTAAAATCAGAAGTCAACTGAAATAATTGACGTTAGATTAAAAATTCTAAGATGATCTTGTATATTTTTGGTACTATTAAGATAAAGAAATAGTAATTCTAAATTTTATTCCAAGAAGAATCATTACATGCTAAAATCAAACAGGATAAAATAATAATGGGAAAAAAGATTGTGAGATGTCTCTTATTACTTATTAACATAATTATTGATTGATTTGTAACAAGATAATAATAATGATAAAATAATAAAAAGAAACGTAATGGTCTTTGATATTATGACAGTTTAATTGATAGCAGAAGAAGAAGAGTTTAAAAATTTTAGTTTTATTGTCTCAAATATTAGATGTCTCGTGGAATTAGCATGTGGCTTCAGGTGTCTTCTGAATTACTAGATATAATATGTACATACATAATAATGAGGTTTATATATATAAACATATATATATAAGAAGTAAAAATAATAGTTGATGTACAACTAAGGTGGATTTATAACAAACTCGATATAGTTTGAAAAAATAAAAACTCAAGCCAATTTAGAACACTGAACTTTCAATCTGCTTCTCAGAGCCAGATCTGAGACCGAATTTAATAAAATCCACCCTGAAATATCTCCTTTTCATCCATAATAATATGAGCCTCTTGATAATAAAATATGGAATTTACATATTCCAATTTCTTCTTCAAGTGAAAGAAATATATTAAATTAGAGAGGGCAGATAAAGCAAATAAAGATCAGCTGAAACCCAAAGAAGGCCAGAATGCTTTTTCTTTAGACACAAGCAAAGATGAACAATTCAGTTGAATGAACAAGACCAAATTCCTGATAAAGTATGCAACATCATTAGCAAATGTTTACATCCGAGCCACTTCAGACATAAAATTCAAGCAATAAATATGCAAGAAAACAATCAATTCACAGCATTAATAGAAATTCAGACCAACAAAACATCCATTGACGGACCTTTTATCCAGAGGATATTTAGTTTCAAAACACATGAAATCTGAGCCTCGACTGCTTCTGATGCAAGAAAAATAAAACATGTCTGTCTAGTCAATCACCAGCATAGCAGATGAAACGATAGACCCGACACCAGAACACATATTACAAGAGCACAAGTCCAAGTTGTGACGGTCTTAGGGCACGCTGTATCCGATAATTATAGAGATAATAGTGAAGCTGCCCATCACCTGGTCCAAATTTCAGTTCTTTCAGGAACGTCTCGTTATGCATAACATCAAGAGCATTGAAAACATCAAAATCCCTTTGTTTAGCAACAATAAGTGTATCGTTCATCAGCTGAAGCAATGGAGTCTTAGTGGCAATATTATAATATGAATAAGCAGCTTTCAGAATTGAATAGTTCGGGTTGCCAAGTATTGAAGAAGGCAGAGTGTAGAAGCTGCAGAAATCAGTTATCTCATGAGTCTCTGGGCTCTCAACCAAGAAACTATCCACCACGTTCTCTTTTGGAAGAAGCCAGTGCTCCACATCATCCTCATCAAAATCTGGTGCAACAACAAACTGGCCCAAATAATTTTTGAGCAAGCGAGTTACAGCAGGGACATCCCGAAGCTCCATTTTTCTGAATCCAGGTGTGGCTGGTGTATCTGGTAGCTTGTACAGTTTAATAGTTCTACTCATAGTCATCCTTGCACCAAGTCTTGAAAACCCAACATCAATAAGCTTCTTTGGATTCAAAGACCTATGCCAGTACTGGCAAGTAGTAATCGGTGTCGGAAGAACCACTCCTGCTGTGTAAGCTGCTTGCCAAATATTCTCCAAGTGAACCCTCCTAGTAACTTCCTTAATCATGACTGGTGCAAGTCTCTTTGATCTAAGCTTCTTATGAACACACAAGAAATTGATCTCCGCCATTTTGACAATTTCATCACGCACCCTAATTCTTGCAGGAACACCAGTAATGAAAGCAACAAGCTTCTTTGAAGATTTAACACGAACACCAATGTGCCAACTTCGATAATAACCTGGAGGGCGCAAAGCCCACCCAAGGAACTCCTTAGAATAATTGAACCTAAACATGTTCTCATCATCCTCAACATAGTTATTTTTCAGGAGGTTATAAACCTCATTGCAGGTCTCTTCTGAATCCATATCACAGGTAGTCCATTCATAAGGACTTGGCAAGTTATAGGGCTCTTGTTTTACCTCAGATAATGGTAATGGTGGCTCAATTGGACCCTCAGGCAAGCTTGTGTCCCCAATATCCTTGAACTGCCCTACAGGTTGGGTTTCCCAAAACTTGTGTTTCTTACCTGTGGAAATTGAGTCCTGGAACCTTCGAACTATCATTTCAAGTGAATTATCATCATTTGGAGGTGGGTTTATCTCAGACCTCTGGTCTGGATTTTCTTTTGGAGACCCAGGTGCTGAGTTGTTATCGTCCATCTCAACAAACAAGAAATTCCCAAAGGCTATAGGACAACAAAATTACATGGAATGCCCCAAAACAAACAAAGCTTTTTTTTTCCTGAAAAAAAAAAACCAAGAAGTTTGTTGTTATTACTTGAAAGTATGCCTCAAGCAGACGCAATATCTAACATTTAATAGCCAACAGATGCTACATTCAATCAAAAATGTTGCAGAAAATAGTTTATCTTTATTATATATTAGAAAGAAAGCACAAATAGGTATCTATGGGAATCCTGGTGCCAAGGTGAAAGAACTGTTTTTTTTGAGATAAAAACGACAGCGCAAAATGGTGATCCGAGAAGGGAAGCCAAGGTAAAAGAACTATGAATAGGAAATGAACTATATAAAGAAGTTCTACACTAGAAAAAGATTATATGGGAGATATATTATATATCGTAATACAACCCCTAAAAGTTGCAGCATATGTTATATGTAGCAAGTGTTCACAGTAAGGTAAAAGAAATACCAAAAGGAAATTAACTAAATCAAGTTCTATAATAGAAAAAGATTATATGGGAGATATATTATATATCGTAACACAACCCCTAAAAGTTGCAGCATATGTCATATATAGCATGTGTTCATAGTAAGGCTAATCAAGAGGCCCCTTTCAAAGAGGGACTAGCACTTAAAGATTTGAACCAATGCTGATAAGCCAAATGGTTGTGAAAATTCATGCACCGCAATGAGTGGCTCTTGAGTAAGGTTATTAGTGCCAAATATAAGCTATCTAGGAGAGATTGGAGGACAGGAACAAAAAAGGGTTTCTAGCTCTTCCTTGTTTGAGCCTAGTGGCTGATTTTGTTCACTTTAAGGTTGGTGGTGGTCTCAATGGCTAGAGATCTTCAAATCTTTAGGAGTTAAAGGTGGGAGACAGAGTGGGAGCAGAAGAGATGACACATATATTTTTTTGCTGATGACACACTGTTATTTTTGTGAGCCATGTGTCAGGTCTATTCTCAATATTAGGTGTTTTCTTCTAAACTTTAGGCAGTTTCTGGGCATAATATTAATCTAGCCAAGCTGAACTGGTGAATTTTGGAGATGTTAGTGAAACTAAAATTTCAGCTAGAATTTTGGGATACAAGTATGCTGAACTTTCATTAAATAGTTGGGGATACCTGATGCAGAATGGGCAAGCATTAGATTGCCTAAATAGGTTAGAAATTGTAATTATATTAAATGTAAAACTACTATACTTTTCTAGGAGTCTATATTACTGAGGAGCATTATTATAATTTTAGTAACTTATGATTTTTATTCTTATTAGTATTTTCCTATTTTTAATAGGATTATTATTCCTAAAATCATTAGTATTAACCTTTTTGTTATTTCAGAAAAAAGTTATTAGTATTAGTTTCTTATTCTTATTATGATTAGTATTCTGAATTCTACTAATTTACTATTTCTTATTTTAATTTTATTTGTAAAAGGTTGCTTCGATATTATGATAAATAGCTTATAATTTTATTTATTCGAGCATTCAAGTATTCAATAATATTTTGAGAGTTTCACAATTTTTTGGTTGTGAGATACAATATGATGCTTACGGATTATTAAATGATGTCTAAGAAACCTTAGGTGTGATATCTGCGTCTTTCCTCCCCAAATTCTCAATTGGACAAAGCAACATTATTTGCGCCAAAGTGCAAGGATGTTTCAATGTGGGACTCTGTGATAGTGAGGTTTCAGTCCCGCCTATCTAAAGAGAAATCTTCTACCAAAGCACGAAAAGCTTAATATCATCAAAAGCACTATGGCCAATATCCTTGTTTACTAAATGTCTTTGTTGACAATGTCTACTAGTGTTGCCAAAAAGCTGGAATCCATCCAATCAGGTTCTTATTGGGTGATTCTGAGGAGAAGAGGATATACAATTTTGTGGCATGGATGCAATGAAACAACCGATTCAACATGGTAGATTGGGTTTGAGATATTTGGTTCAGGTTAATAAGGCGCTTCAAGGAATACAGTTGTGGAGGTTTATGCTAGAGTGTGATAGTTTTTGGAAGAGCATAGTAAGTGCTAAATTGGGCATAGAGGACATGGATTGGTATACAAAGATTCTTTCTTGGTCACATGGTATTGGGTTGTAGAAGAAGATTTGTACAAGGAGAGAGGAGTTCTTTTTTTTTGAAATAAAAGTTTAAGATTTGTATTGATTAACGGTGCCAAGGGGGAACCACCGATATACAAAAGATTTACAAATCAGTTAGTATATCAAAAATGAAGCCTAAGTTAACAAGGCAGTCAATGAAGCCTAAATCATCAAGGAGAGAGGAGTTCTTGAAAGGCATTAAGTGAAGGATTGGGTCTAATAAGAGAGTGAAATTTTGGCATAATGAAAGGTTAGATGGTGAGGCAGTCAAAACCAAATTTCAGCAAACTTTTGCTATAACTCAACATATGGAGACCAAGGTCCAGGAGTCCTTCTAGGGTTTGGGAGAGATGCCTTGTGAATTGTGGAGGTTTCAATGAACAATCTATACAAATCTCTTATGATGGTTCTACCAATGTACTCCTAATGGAGACGAACACTATCCTATTTGGAGGCTTAACTCTAAGGGAGCACTTTACAGTTAAGGCCTTCTACTTGCATCTGCCTAAGAGGAAGGAAACTACTATGGAGTTGCCTGCAAAGCTGATCTGGAAGCTTTTTTGCTTGGAAGGCTACTAAAGAGTGTATCTTAACTTTGGATGAATTGATTAGGAGGAGAAGAATATTGGTTAGTGGATGCTACCTGTGCAAGGGAGATGCAGAATTCATGTAATCATATCATGTTGTGGTTTCCATTTGCCTATTGTTTGTGGATCTTAGCCTATGGTCCGTTGGGCATCAATTGGGTGATGGTTCAGTAAGAGATGAGAGCAGGGCATGGCAAGGAGCCTTTAAGGATAAGAGGTCTTCAGTCTTATTCCCTTGGCTACGTTTTTGGTTATCTAGAAAGAAGAAAATAGGAGAGCTTTTGAGGGGGCTGTCTCTAATTTTGATAAATTCAAAGGCATTTAGCTCTAAACCCTAAGTTTTTTTATTAAGGGTCCTCCTTTTTATTCTTGTTAGGATCTGGAGGACCTTAATGGTATTTTCCTTAACATCTAACTTTTGTATACAGATTGTAATATTTTGATGCTTGTGAATAGATGATATTTTTTCTTTCAGAAAAAAGATTGGTACCCTACCTCCTCGAGCTTCTGGGAAGATTGTTGCTGTGGTGATAGACCCTTATATGGCCTTTTTTAAAAAATTAACGAACATAAAAAGTATCATTAAGTATAGGCACCAAAAGGATGCTGCCTATGTACAAAATTATTCACAATTCCATAAGTACATCAATTAGTTCTCCTAAAGTTTCCATTGAAAGCACTAATTGACCCATAACCAAAATACCAAGGGTCTGAAACCATCTCTCTCTGATTCTATCTATACTCTCTTCTAACCCCTCAAAGACTCCTATTCTTTTCCTTTCCAGTAATCTAAAATATTCCAAGAGGATTAACTCCAACTGCTTTTTCGTGCAGCCACTGCTTTACATATCCATAATTCATCCCTAATAGTACCTACCATCACCCACTTAAAACTAATCATTCCATAAGCCACAGCCATAAGCTATATGCAACTAGGCACCAAGGAAGAATATGATTGTAGTTCTCCTCTGCCCTCTTCCATAAACAACACCAGTTGACCAGAATCTTTCCTCTCCTTTTATGATCCAATTAGGAAGAAACTAAATTTGGGTCAATAGCTGTCATATGTCTCCAAGAGTATGAATCTCCCAACCATTTCCTCCTCAAGTATCTGAATGTTAGAAAGTTATGGGAGTTTGTCTTGAACCTCCTCACCTTGTTTTAGATCATTAGTGGTATAGTTTCAAATTAGATTTGGGCTTGGAGGACCTCCTTATCAAAAAATCCAAGAAGAATCTACTTTCCTTCGTTTTATTGGCTACAATATGTTTTATTTGCAACGAAAGGAACAGAAGAGTTCTTTTAAAGAATTTGCTCTCTTTTAGATAACATTAGAGATTATTAGTTCCAGTCCTTAAAATATCTATTTGTTCAAAGGTTATATTCTCCTAGATGAAGAGAATATTGGAAACCACACGTTATTTTGTCTTCCAACTATGTGTAGCTTGCCTTTTCTACATGAGTGGCACTCCTTGGTCCCTTGTTCATAATACTTCCTTTCTTCAACATATTAAAATATACAAAATGAGAAACATGTCATCATTATGAACCAAAAGCCGAAATGAATTGCAATCCAATATAGGCTAATTACATTATAGATTTGTTAAACAAACCAATATAAACTGCATCCTAGATCACATCATATTTACCCAAAATGACTGCCCAACTCCCTTCTAACCCTTTAGCCGAAGCTTTTCCCAGTAATATTCTGGTTTTTTTAAAAAAAGATATAATTCGTATTTTAAGTCGCAAAACCTGAGGATTCAAAACCGAAATTCAAGATCAGGAAGATCATTGCATTGAGGACAACCAACAAAAATCTAGAACGGGGACTAAAACATACAAATAGGCGCAAAGGAAAGGCTAAAATGGAGGAAAATGAAAAGCAATCTACTTATAAAAAATAAGGTATACTATTCCTCAGAATTCGAACGCCGAATGAAAAAAAATAGCAATCAACATATCTACAGCATAACCCATCAAATCACACTTTCACCCAAGATTGAAGAACGCAAAGGAATCTATTACACCATCACTCAACAACCCTTAGGGAAAAAACAAAGAAGCCAACTTCTTAGAAAACCGAAGCACACAAATAGAAAGAGAGGATAAGGAGAAGGGCTGTAGCTGCCCCACCTGCTCGCTAAAAAGACAAGATCCGAGCAGATTGTTGCAAGCTGCGGGTTGACGGAGAGCGACTGAGTGGCTACCGGGCCGACGAAGATAAGGTCGGATAATAAGTCGGCAACTGGAGTTAGTGAAGAAGTTGTAAGATGAAAATGGGAGGAGGGTGATCGTCTGCTGATTGAAACAGAGAGAAGGGAAGGCAGAAAATGGAAACAAGAAGACAAGGGTGGAGGAAATTAGGGTTAGAACTGTAACGACGGTGATTCTTTGTAATTTTCGCTGCAACTTCCAGCTATATTTTATTTTCCAATGTAAACGTATATTTACAAATTTAGTCATACGATCGTTACTTAATTAATTTTTTATATTTAAAAAAATAATACTAATCTCAAATTGTTTTGGGGGATAATTCATTTTTTTAAGTAGGAAATTAAATTTACTCTATTATATAATTTTAAAAGTAAAGTACTAAAAATTCAATCATTACAATTATATATTTTAAAATAAAATATAGGAATTAAGATTATGAATTCGTTATAAATTGAGTAGAATGTGAACCAAATAACATAAAAATATAATATATAATTAACAAAAGAAATAATTAAAAAGATTATGACTAATTATCATGTGATTAATTAATTTAATCATATGAAAAGATTATTTTACTATGAAACTATTTTTCAAATAATTTTATTATGTTTGTAACTATATATGTTCATTATTATGTACCAGTTAAGTCAATCTCTAAAAAAAATATTAATTTGAATCATTATTTTTATTAACTCAAAGTCTATAAGTGCCTAAGTGGTAATTCTATAATTACAAATATTTTAAAGATTTATGACTAATCTTAATCATTGATTAATCTCCATATCACAATTATAATTCATTTTAGAAAATTCAAATATCTATCACTAAAATAAAAATAAATAAAATCAAATGTTATGATATAATTGTGATATATCACTCAATTAGGTGATTGGTTTAACGACATATTACTAACAATCTCTCACCTGAATTAAAATCAAATCATCCCGATATCTCATATTTATATATTCAGTTTCGATCTCAAGTCAACTAGAATTTCTTATATGAACATTTTCAATACTATTTATGTCTTACTCAAAATAAGCACATACCCTATATTGATTTACTATTATCAAGATCTTATTAAAAGTCCAAGTATGTGTGCTCTTTCAGTTTTGAGTCATTTACTCCTCCAGAAATGATAAAAAAAGTCCATAATCCTTTACAAGTACTTGAGCATAACTATTTAATGATTCTCACTGAGGTCATATTGAGATATACTCTTAACAATCAGAGTACAAAATATTCTACCTCATATATAATGTAGCTTATATGATATACCTTGTTTTTGAAGCATAAGGTACTTTACTCATGCTTCATCTTCTTAGAAAATTATGAGTTCATCTTATAAAGAGATTTGCCTATGATATAATGGTAAGCGTCCTTTTTGGAGTTTTCTATGCTAGCATGCTTTAGTACAGTGTGTTATATATATATATATATATATATATATATCCTAAGTTAAACAACATCTTTATTGTATCTCTATGGATCTTTATCCCTAATATATATGTTATTTATCTCATATCTTTCACAGAAAAGTTGACAATCAAACTTTTACTAGTAATATACAACGTAATTATATTATTTATAATGATTAAGATGTAATCTACATAAGCTAAAAAGACTATTATATGGCTCCCATTCACCTTGTCTTAAATGCATGATTCATCTTCTCTCTTGATGAAATTGAAACGCCATATAGTTTCATCAATCAAATATTGCACCTACTAGAGGCATGTTTTTCTTCATGAATGATCATTATAGTTTACAAACCTTATTTCCTTCTTCTTTGTGGCAAAACTTTCAAGTTATATTGTATGCAACTCTTTTTCCATGTTTCCATTAAGAAAACTCACCTTAACATTCATTTGCCAAAAATTTAAGTCATGGTAAGGAGGTATTGCAAGAAGCATCAAATACTACATGCAACCAATAAGGATGTTTATTAATTCAGAACTGTATCAGACCAAACCAACAACAAGAAAACTATGGATATACCAATCGAAGATTGGATTAAATTGGATTCATTTCCTTTTTCTTTTTTCTAAATAATTTGTGCTAATTGTTCAAATGCAGTCAATAAAAGCAATAAAAGTTAAAATTAACACTGAATTCATAAATTATTCATCCGATAATTAATAAAATTAATAAAACAAATTATCATTAATTTAATATTAATCCAAAATCATTCATCCAAATCGAATCCATAATATTAGTTTAATCATTGAATAATTAATGATATAATCTAATTGAATTCATAAATTTATAATTATTCGTCCAATCTATACATTTTATTATTTAATTTTGGTTCAAAATCCATCAAATAGAAAAATGTTACTCCATGAATGAAGATCATTCATCCACATTTCCAATCTTCTATTCTTCAAAATTCAAACAAAACGAATAAATTGATGTCATTGCCATCAAGTTCATATCTAAACACAAGATTAAACTTTGAAAACCTCTTAACTACTCTCTCAAATTTGTAAGTTATATTTGACATGATCTATGTTGAATTATACTTTATCTTAATATCAAAAGGTAAAAGAGTCTTACTATATGTTTTTATGTGGTTACACAC